TCGATCAAGTCTGGTGCTGGTAAGTTAGTCCTCGAATGGCACGTTTAATCGGGCTGTGGACCTGCATACCCTTAACCAGGGGCTACCGATGAGGTCCGATAGCACAAGGGAGCAGAAACTCTCGCGACTGCTTCATTCAACAGCACAAAATCTATGAAACGCAGGTCTGGTCTGTATCCTTGATGGGAATACGGCAGATAAATTAGAATATGCATGAACTATTTGGCAGTGACGTAACGGGCTACAAGCCGTATGGCGGCCAAATACATATCTGCGAAATAGTCACTCTTAAAATAGCCATCCCGTCGTCTCCTCTTATGGTGACCGTCAGGAGCAGTGAGTGTGTGTGTGTTCAAAGCGAAGCGTACTTGCACAGCACATACTTTACTCGACATTTCCCAGTTTGCGTCGCCAGTTAGGAACACGGAGCTATATCAGTGACTGTAGCCTACGGAAATAGGATAAATCCAGTGGTTTCAATTTATTAACTGTCTCAATACAACCTCCGAATGGGTAAATACGGAGTGTGTCAGTCAGTTTGGCGGTCCATATAGCCAGCCCACATCGTGAGAGTGCCTGCAAGACAAATATCGGAGTCAAAGCTGACGTCATGTAAACGAGCCGCCGAGCCAACGAAGGTGTGAAAGCCCGAAAAAGCGGCCAGTAAAGAGCATATTTGAGTCCATTTTGGCCCCTTCTTGTGTGCTGACATAAGAGTGTGAATCTGGCCTTTCACTGTGAGACTGGAGGTGAAGTGCACTGACGCAGCTAGCCTGTATACAACACGCCCCGAAGGCTGCACACGTACGTGTTGCACGGCAGGGTCCACCTCTGCTCGACGGTCAATTTGCAGCGTGGAACCACACCCACAGGACTAGCGAGCACCCACACTGCTGTCTGCGTGTAGCGATAGTCTGACTGTCGCAAGTGATCAAGCCCTCCCCTGTCTCTAGGACGCAGTGGTGATTTGTACGTGAGTGGAACGGACTTGCGACGTATCTGGCTCACTCGATACTCCTGCGTCATCGTGCTCCGACAGTAAAATATAGTTGAGAAAATTGCGGGCGTTCGCGTGGAGGCAGACGATGTTCAGTAAGTCCAGAAGACAAGGATGTGACCACTGGAACAAGAAATTCATTGACCTGACGTTTCGGATTCTCACTCGAATCCATCATCAGAGACGGTCGCGGATAAGGGTGATGGTGGCACAAGGAGTGCAGTATTTATAGCACGTGGATGCCATGGCACCATATGCGCACTGTAATTAACAGCCCTCGCAATCACCACTGGGATCGTAGTTGATGCGCTGGTGGCTTGTCAGTCCGAGTCCGAGTCGTTAATGGCCGTCATTTCGTCATCCGTGCAGGATGCTGGTGTGACGACTACTCGGAAAATTGGCTCACTGTCACTGGGATAATTGCTCGCCCGCGCCCTCCCCACGTGACCGATTCTCCTGCCCAGGGAAAATCTCAGCACGGAATATGGTACCGGGAGGTCATTGTGCTTGTTGATGGATTTCGGGCCTGAGAACCATGACTCGAGCAGTTCGCGGCTCACGCAGTTGTCATCCCTTGCGAGGATTTCGACCTCTTGAAATATGAAAATATGGCCAGGTCCCGTCGAGTGTGCCGCCACCTGAGAGCTAGCGTCTTCCTGCCTCACTGCTGCTGCGAGCTCGGCAATTCACATACGGAGTAATATCCCAGTTTCTCCGGCGTAGTTGCTTTGTCCGCAACTACACCAGATCCGGTAAACGACTCCAGACGTTTCCTGCCGTGGCAGCGGGTCTTTTGGCCTCATGACTTGGCGCCAAGTGGTTGCTTCCGGTCTGTGTATAACCCCAACACCAAGTGGAGTGAGAAGACGACTGACGGATTCCGAGACGTTCTTTACGTACGGAAGAGCTGGCCAAAATTTGGGGCCGGATGGATTTAGTCTCTGGTGTCCTTTTCGTATGCACCGGTTGACAAAGTTGCGCGGGTAACCATTGGCTCTTATTACCCCTCGAAGATATTTTAATTCAGAAACCTTGTCTTTCATTTCACTGCAGTGCGTCTCAACGCGCCGGTATAGCGCCCATACGCAATTGCGTTTGTGACTGATCGGATGGTTGCTATTGAAGTTCAGTATTTGCGTCGTATTTGTTGTTTTCCTGAACACTTTGGTTTTTGGGCCACCACAACCTTTGAGGCAGACGGGGACATCCAGGAAGGCCAGCTGGTTGTTACGATGGAGGGGGAGGAGGAGGAGGAGGAGGAGGAGGAGGAGGAGGAGAAGGAGAAGGAGGAGGAGGAGGAGGAAAACAGCCAGCTGGCCTTCCTGGATGTCCCCGTCTGCAGCAAAGTACTGAATTCCTATCGGATCGATTTCGCTCTTTCTCTCCTCTCTCATGTGGCAGTGAACTGTCGGAGATTTAGCGCAGTGGCGACCTGGTGCAAAGCCGCCGTATAACGCGTGCCAGTTCTTAACATGCGCGAGAGGTGCTACGGAGACCGCATTATGCATTCACCGTTGCAGTTTGATTTCACTCTCACCCCGCTAACCGGCGAATTTCCAGGCTACGACGTCTGCCGCCTCGTGGCAATTTCATTCGCCAGTAGATTTGGCAAAATATCAAATTCGTTGGATTGCCACTAGGCGGGATAAGTTAGTAATGACCCTACTCTCTACTTCCTCTCCACTACACACAGGTGTTTCTCACAGGCCGATTTGTGGTGAAATTGGTCTCGGTGGCTGGTGTGTGGTGTAAGGACTCCACCTACCGCCTGCCACACCCTTGGCAGCATGTCTGATGCATGTGTGATGCGCCATGATTAATGGCGTGGGGTAGGTGACTGAAAATTGCCATGCGGCGACTGACTTTGTAGGCCTGATTGCCTGACGTTATTTCGCCGGTCTGTGCTTGCCTATGAAATGGCTCGTGCCTGTGTCGTAACACACCACTAGGCGTGATGACTGCTCGATCACAGAGGGGCCATCTTGAACTTGTGTCTACTTTCAGTCAGTTAACGCCTCTGTCCCGCCTGTGTGCCCAGGGCAGGGGGGGTGTGGAGGTGTCTAACAGGGGCGAGCCGGGGGTCTGATACGCGGCGGGGTGGTGGTGGTTCTGCCGGTGGCTGTTTCTTCACTGATGAAGGTTGCTTTTCTCTCTGCGTGTGAACAGCACACACACACGCACACGCACGCACGCACACACGCATGCACACGCGCACGCACGCACACACGCACGCACGTCCGTGCGCACATGCGCCCCCAAACGCAAGTGCAACCGTGCATGCAAGCACGAACAGGGTTGGAGTATGACCTCTCCAACTAAGTGCAATTATCGAGGGCCCTGTGCTAATGTGCAGGCGGGTCGTTGCGTTTATCACGTCATCGCTGACCTCCAGGTGGCACCCTCTTTAGTCTTTCGCAGACCCATGGGTTCCAGCCGTTAGTAGTTCAAGTCAGATTTCTGCATGAAGGGTACCTAAACAAGTTTCGGCAGGGGCGGGGAGAAGGAATCCACTTGACTGTCGGCTGACTGTGGATCGTGTCATATATGATCTTATTCAAGGTCTATAGGCTCAGGCCAAGAATTTTATACACGAATATTTGGGTCAAAGTCCATCAGCCACAGCCGGTAACCGCGTAATATTCATTAACTGCCGACAGGCAGCTAGTAATATACTTTAGGGTAGGGTGATACCATGCTAACAGCACAGGTACTAGCCAAAAGCCCATGCACGCGTGTTTCGCTGATGTTTTGCCGCTGCATGGCGCAGCTGCGAGGGGTTCGGCTTGTAGATAATTTCTGAGGAAATTAAAAAACGACAATTTCTAAATTGGGGTATCTACCAGAAAACACACGGGGAATGCTGGGGGACCCGCTGACGAGCCGAACCCCTCGCAGCTGCGCCATGCAGCGGCAAAACATCGGCGAAACACGCATGTGTGGGCTTTTGGCTAGTACCTGTGCTGTTAGTATGGCATCGCCTTACCCTAAACTATATGGTCTTATCTTGGCATCTATTTACCGGCCGTTATAGACATTGCACTGCCAACAACAATTACTTCTCACGATCTCAAACCACTACTCAAACTCCGTTGTTTTTTTAGAATTCGTTTTTTGTTTATTTTTAATTGTCACTCCCGTTTCCGTTACCATACGAAAGCGCACGACAAGACTTTCGGCAGAAATATAAACGATTTCTGTGTTTTTTACATTTCGCCCGATTACTGCCTGGTGTTCTGCCCCACTGGTAAAACCCACATTACCAGTAAGCCCATATGACACGATCCACAGTCTACCAGCAGTTAAGTAGGACCCTTCACCCTACCGTCAGAGATAGCGGCGACATCAGAACGAGCGGCAATTATGGGGCGTGCTAGCCAGTCAGTGATTGATGGCGTAAGCCTGCAGATGACTGCGGGGAGCTCTGTATGCCGGCGCCAAATGGATAAATCGATTGACTGAGTCCTCATCCGTGGCCCAGGCTTCAAGCAATTCTCGGCTTCTTTTGTTTCCCGCGTAGGCGGTAGGCTTGGCGCCTGTAAAATTAAATTAATGACCCATTTCGTAGGTGTGGGCAGTCAATTGTGATAACTTATCGCCTCATCGTGCAACCAGCCTATATTCGTGCATGCACGATCCGAGCACACGTCCGGCCAGACCAGTGTAGTTACAAGGACAGGTTTTGCACGGAATGAAGTGCACTACCCCCCGACTGCCCCTTGGGACTTAGCCGGACTTTAACTGCCATGACCTCGCTGCGCATGGTGGCTTTGGGTCGGTGGGAAGTTCTGACACCTAGTTCCGTAACAACGCGTTAGGTCGCTTCTGACACGTCCTTACCGTATGGCGAAGAATGTCATGTCCTTGATGGTGTTGCCGTTTGTGTCCTCTGGGGGTGATCGCATAGGCATCGGCTTTTAAAGTCATTCGAATAGGCATTCCACGCAGTCTACCGGCAGTCAAGTGGGATCCTTCACCCGACTGTTACCAATTTTTATGCACTTTAAGTAACCGGCGGAGATTTCGTCTGGCTAGACCACTGCGTCGATGAGGGAGAAGCTGGTCAGCAGACCCTGATGAGATTTGACTTGACTGAAGGGGAGCTGGACGTCATCCTCGGCCCGTGCATTTGTCCTGTATTTCATCTGTATTTAAATCAACTAAAATACCACAAAATCCTTTTTTGTAGATACTTTAAAAACTGTCGGTGCCTCTGCGATCGTTAACATGCCCCTGATTCGGCTGAAATTTGAAGTGCCCCGGGCAGTTGTAGACCACAACGATTCCACAACCACCACCACCGCCATCATCATCGACAGTTCGACCATCGCAAACGACGATGACCACTGTCTGCCCCACAACCGGGTGGACATGCCAAATAAGAAACGTTCGACCCTCACTGTTGTGGTTAGGATCTCACTCGATCCCATTCTGTCCGTCCGCCAGTTTGCTACTGGCTACAACGAACGCTGTGTCATGGGACATGTATCACATATAATACATAAGCAACTCACTAGGAGTGCAACAGGCCAGGCGCAGACAGTTGTTTCACGGTCGCCACCGATCATCAGTACGTCGCAGGCCATACGAAGTGAGGTATATAAACATGTCAAGTAAGCGTTTGACCCTCACTGTTGTGGTTAGGATCTCACTCGGTAACAGCCGTGAAACAAATGTCTGCGTCTGGCCTGTTGCACTCTTAGCGAGCTGCTCATATATTATATGTGGTATGTGTCCTATGACACAACGTTCGTTGTCGTCAGTAGCAAGCTGGCGGGCAGACAGAATGGAATCGGATGAGACCTTAACCACAACAGTGGGGGTCAAACGCTTATTTGACATGTTTATATACCTCACTTCATATGGCCTATGACGTACTGATGATCGGTAACGACCGTGAAACAACTGTCTGTGACTGGCCTGTTGTACTCCTAACAGGGTAGACGCTGTGACGGTGACTTGCGCGTGATTCGTTTTATAATGATAGTAGACCTGCACTGCATTCATCACACTCTCTTCCAATCTGTTACCTGGGTTCGGTATCAAGGCAGAGCCAAGAAGACCGGAGGCCGGATCGGGCGTATTGACTGTCTACGCGTGTCAAAAACGCCTGGCCCACGAACGATGGAGCAGGAATCCACGCACCAGCAAGAAAAGGACGACTCGGATTCCATCTAAATGGCGGGAGGGCTTGGAGGCCACATTAAGAAGGAGCCACTTCAGCCTGACTCGCCGGCCTGAGGGGAGGACTGAATTATCCCTTAAGTTTGCGACCAGCCAAGTCATGGCTTTAGTAAACCCTGATGGTTTGGAAGCGATTCAGATTGCTTATCTCGAGGAATATGCGCTGAGCGCCACGGTCCCTAGAATTGAACTAAATTTCTCTTCCTTCACCCAGGCACCAATCCACTGTCCTAGTCGGTCAACTGCTACTACTACTACTACTACTACTACTACTACTACTACTACTACTACTACTACTACTACTACTACTACTACTACTACTACTACTACTACTACTACTACTACTACTACTACTACTACTGCTACTACTACTACTACTACTACTACTAATACTACTATTACTACTACTACTACTATTACTACTACTACTACTACTACTACTACTACTACTACTGCTACTGCTACTACTACTACTACTACTACTACTACTACTACTACTACTACTACTACCACCACCACCATCACCACCACCACCACCACCACCATAATCGTCAACAACAACAACAACAATGTCGTTGTCATCATTATTACCATTGCCACCAACGCAAGAGCGAAAAGTGCTGAAAAGCCTGAAGTGATGATTTCACACTACAACTAGTCCTGAAATCCGGCCTGACAAGTGAGTCTTACTTCTGTGTACATTTGAATATCCCCGATTACAGTCAATCAGGCGTGAGCTTGTGGTTCAACTGGCAGAACGTCTGACTAAACATGCCGTTGATCCCAGGCTGCAACCGGAGGTATTTATGTCTACAGTTTGGCTGTGATCGGCTGATGAGCGCAGATTGCTACATGGCCAAGTTTTACGGCTCTGAGCCAAAACAGAACGTTCGCCTTTCACCGAACCAAAGTGACGAAGGTCACTCCCAGGCCAGTCTGTCTTGCAGAATGTCACGTTCTATTTCCGGCCAGATTACAACTTTCCCACCTTCCTATCTGCCCGCTCCCCTTTGTTCCGTCGTCTTGCGAGACATGATTTAACCATGAGCTTCGGTATGCTGGGCGATATTCACGATCTTGCTGGTTACACGGAAGGAACCAATAGAATGGCGCTTTGATGGGATTTGTTATTAGTCTGTCCGCGGTGACCACGGTAGTGTTGCGTGTAAAGTCGCACAAGGCTGCTGCGAACCGTGGCCGAGGCAGGACGGCCTGTTTTTACACATGTTGTTTGCCGAATTCTGATTGGTCAGCTGGTAGAGGCAGACAGATTTATAGGGCGAAGAGTGGTCGGTGAGGCAGGGACGGATATATTCATCTAGACTTAGCGAAACTGTGCACTGATGAAATCCCCCAGACCTACGCTTTGGAGGTGCCTGCAGACGCCTTGCTTCAACTCCTGGGTTTTTTTTCTAGGAGCAAACATCTTTTCCATCGAAAAGTACTGTCAGTTACTGAAAGGTGCCCCCTATGCCTTCACCGAGAGTTGGCTTCCTGGTGAATGCTGCCACGCAGAAATTTGGAGCTGCCGTTTTCCGCACGCTTAACCCGAAATTGTAGCTGTGTTACGTAGACAAAAGGCTTTTTCACGTATGAAATGATTATTTATAAATGCTCCAGAGGACACTTAACTCGGAATGGAGATTGGCGGAGAACTCCCTTTCCAAGATAACCTCACACATCAAAGGACCGATGCATCGCTGAAGACTACACCTTTTCACAGAAACATACATTCCTAGGTCATCCTGTATTGTAAGACTAATCATCGCAACTCCCATAGACGTAGATCTGTCAACGGCTTACTAAATCGATTTAAAATCCCGTGCCTTGAAAGAAGAAATTTGCTGGTCAGAAATGAAATATTCTTTACGTTATCCCTCCAAAATTGACGTCCCCTTTACTTTGTGCATAAATGTATGAGGTGGCAGACGCCCGGAGGAAAGTTATTTCCGATGCTACGACCACTTAGACACCAAAACCAACCAGATGGTGCGCTCTCCCTAGCGGAAAGAATATACCTTAAATTGACGGAAGACAGCTATAAAAACGCTATATACGGACAGTGCACAAACCTAGAACTACCCTATGAGCACAGGGTTGGTTATCTCGGTAGAACGGAATCCCAAAAAATCCCATGTGACAATTATGATGCGGTTTACTGTGGCCCAATCGAGGAATCTGCCAGCACCCGTATACGTGAACACTAGCTGGCAGCAGAGAGACGAAACAGTTCATCCCAGGTGGCCATGAAAATACAGGACAAAAGGGCACATATTTTCATGGGAGATGAGGGGCATCGTTAGCGCCAGCCCAACAAGGAAGAGCCTTGAGTTCCTAGAAGCAGACAAGGTATCCTTCACTAGGCACCTCGACTTAAATATCGCACAAAATGATCAAGGATAGGTGTGAACGGACACCGACAATTTCGACCGGGTAGGCGAAGGCAGTGGACGTCTAATGGCCTAAATTAAACCCACCACAGACGGGAACGGATCCTTGATGTGAAGATCCCGCAGAATACTGGCGCCCTTAGTAACTACGTCGTGCTGAGGTAGATGCAACTACGTTCGTATAACCACATCGTGAGGGGTGAAATACATACGCCCGCCCAAGTGGTTATTCCAAAGTGGTGTAATGACTCTACTTCGGATGTCTGTTGCAACGTGCGTCTCTCCCGAGTGCCTGCACGTGCGTACTGGCGGCAGGCCAGTTTTCGTCCGCTCACGGTTTTCCAATTGTCCAATCATCTTTAAGGCCGAATCAGACGTGCCCTCACTTAAGGCGCTGCGACACATAACCCGCTCTCACTGGGTACGCCGATCTCCCGGCGCCGGACGTACCCTCGTCCGGTTTCTAACTCTTTCCAATCCCTTCTCCAGTTATTCTGTGCAGAATATACTCTCCTCTCAATTGGCGTCTAACTCCTCCTCCTCCTCCTCCTCCTCCTCCTCCTCCTCCCCCCTCCTCATCCTCCTTCTACCACTCCTTGCATTCGGTACAGGGCCGAGTAACCTTAGTGGCAACGTTCTGCCTGTAGCCTAATCGGCGGCAGTGACGCCGGTACAGATGTTCGCTGACAAGGCGGCCAAAAGTATCTTTACAAGAACACTCTGAAGACCTCACCCAGAGATATGTTGATCAGTCCTGTTAGCTGGAATGGTCTTTTCTTGAAATCGGTAGGCGTGACACACTGCTGTTAAAATTGGAACAGCAATCTTCCAAGCCTATATCATGCAAGCGACCGAATCAAAGAGGGGCGCAACCAAGTTTCGAACATCACGGATCGACTTTGCAAATAATCCATCACCCGCTTTGTCGAAAGATATTCAGGGCACGGATAGGCTTTTTTGGCCATCTCTGGATTCCATGAAGTGTCGACACGACCAACCCTCGTCTTCTATCTCCGAAAACACCACCATCACCAACAGGAACACTCCTAACGTGCGCCCGTCAAACACGCCTCACCAGCTCAGACTGCCCCAGGACATTGAGACATCGCTGGGGTCTTTTTGGTCGTTAGAGGGTACTCCAAAGTTGAATTCACTGCCTTTTCACAGCGGTCAACCTACTATTTGCACCAGAAGACTCATGTTCCACCACCATTACCAACAGCCTCGTCACAACCAGTTCCGTAGACACAGCCACAAATTATCCTTACTGTCATCGTGCATTTTAATAATGCATCCACCTGGTTGGTCACTTACAAATCCGCCGTTGTGAAACCGGTAAACCGGTGCCAGGGATCACAGCATACAGAAGAAGAAGAAGAAACGGTCACTGAAACCAAAAAGTTCTTTGGCCTGATGTTTCGGATTTTCCCTCGAACCCATCATCAGAGACGGTTGCAGATAAAGGTAGTGGAGACGATTTCGTCATCCGTGTTGGATGTTGGCATGCTGATTACTCGGCTCGCTGTCACTGGAATTGCTGCCCGACGCGCTTTCCCACATGCCTAATTCCCCTGTCCAGGGAAAATCTCAGCACGGAATACGGTAATGGGAGGTCATTGCGTCTGTTGATGGACTGCGGGTCAGAGAACCATGACTCGAACAGTTCGCGGCTCACGTGGCTGTCACCTCTTGCGAGGATTTCGGCCTCTTGAAACTTCACATATATCAGGGCCCCGTCGAATAAGCCGCCGTCCTTCTACCTCACCGTTGCTGCGTTGTCGGCCATTCGCGTCCGTATTAATCATCCAGTTTCTTGGACTTGGTTGCTCTGTCCGCGACTGCACCAGATACGGCAAATGACTCCAGAAGTCTCCATTAGTAGCAGCTGGTCTTTCGGCCTCATGAACTGGCGCATGATGTCTGCCTCCAGCCGGTGTGCAACCCCAACTGCACGTGGAGTAAGGAAGCGAGTGTCGGCCTCCGAGACGTTCTTCACGTACGGAAGAGCTTGTCAAGATTCAGGACCGGTTGGATTTGGTATGTCATTTCGCTTGCGTATGCACTAGTTGCCAAAGTAGCGCGGGTAGCCATCAGCTCTCAGTAACCGTCGAAGATATCATAGTTCGGCGACTCTGTCTATGGCTTCACTACAACGCGTCTCAACGCGCCGGTATGGCGCCCTTACGCAATCACTTTTGTGACTGATCGGGTGGCTGCTGTTGAAGTTCGGTATTTACGTCGTATTTGTCGCTTTCCTGAACACTTCAGTTTTTAGGCCACCACTATCTTTGCGGCAAACGAGAACATCCAGAAAGGCCAGCTAGTTGTTTTCTTCCTCCGTCAGCATAAATAGAATGTCAGGGAAGGCGGGGTTGAGACGTACTTTGGAAGTCAGCACCTGATCCCGTTCGATGTCGAGACGTTCCCTGGGCAGGAGAATCAGTCACGTGTGGAGGGTGCGGGCGGGGAACAGTTACAGTGATTGTGAACAAAATTACCAAGTAATCAGCACGTAAAAATCCAACATGGATGATGAAATCGCGGCCATTAACGACCTGGACGTTGACTGACAAGCAATTATCAAATCAATTATGACCCCAAAGCGGCGATCGCGGGAGCTGTTAATTATAGTGTGCACGCCTTGTGCCTCCCCTACCCCAATCTGTGTCCGTCTCAGATGATGGCTTTAGAGTGAACATCTGAAAAGTCAAACCCGTAGACTTTGTTGTTCCAGTGATCGTATCTTCATCTGAACTGCTTCCTGGAACGCGCATCCATCATCATCATCCATCAGGAAAACAACACACCACACCTGCTCCCCCATCACATATCACTCCTATAACACACATGCGTGCACATCTGACTGGCACGTCGCAGGTGCGAACAGGTACACCTCACTCAGGTACAGTAGGTGGGCTAACTCATGAAATGTCAACCGAAATTCCGAAATGCGTTTCGTTTCGAAAATATTAATTTAGTAGGGTTGTGAAACTCGTCAGCCTGCAACATAATTCTCTAATATTTCCATTACCTCAGGATGCCGGCTTTCGAATGAAATTCTTTTCTGCTGAATGCAAAAACGATACTCTTTAAAAAGTGACTACTTAAGTAGCACGAATTTTTCTCATTGATTTTCGATGCCCCTAAATGTCCAATTATATTTTATGGAAAACATGCATGAAAATATTCATTTCCTTGCTCATTCAGTAGATAATTACGTCTTCTTCTAACTTGATACTCAAAGGAGGAACATAATTCGGTTTCAAAAAGTTTTTAATCGTTTGACTTTGAAATACCGTGAAATGACCGTTCATAAATCGTCATGTCTCTGCATTTACCATTGTGGCTTGTAAAGTTAAAAATATGGCTTAAATCCACTACTAAACTGTATGAACCCTATAAGGTCCCCCCTTATTACCGTAGAGGGGTTTTCGGCACGCGGAAAACATACGGTTTGTAGTTTGGGAACTCTGAATCTAAATGTAACGCTAGAACGGGTTCAAAATTATTCGGGAATTGAACAAGTTTTTGAAAACCGAATCATGTCCCTCATTCGGGTATGAAATTAGAAGAAAACGTAATTTTCTACCGAATGAGCAAAATAATGAATATTTTTATGCATGTTTTCCATGATATGTAATTGGACTTTTAGGCAAATCGAAAATCAATGAGAACAATTCGTGCCATTTAAGTAGGCATTTTTTTACATATTGTTTTTACATGCAGCCGGAAGGAAGTTCATTCGAAAGCCGGCATCCTGGGGCAACTGAATAATTATAGAATTATGCTGCTTGATGATTAGTTCTCCCACTCTACTCCATTAATCTTTTCGAAACGAAGACGCATTTCGGAATTTCGGTTGACATTTCATGAATTAGCTCACCCGACCGTTTGCCTCGCAGCACGGTGGACTTGCGTGTGATTTAGTTTATAGTGATTGCAGACTTGCGCTCTATCTGCCGCACTCGCCCGCCTGGGTTCAGTGTCCAGGCAGAGTCAAGGAAACCAGAGAAGGCTCGGGCTCAAGGGGCTGGCACAGCGCGGGCCTGCACATTGGCGTGCCTATAACTCCCCTCGAAGGGTGATATTTTTTATGGCCGCGTATCCCCAATGAGGCCTGTCGTTGCCCTATCTACCCACCATGCTGGTCTACGACATAGGTCATTTTAGGCGCACGAAAAAACACAGGTTCCGGTTCATGAGCGACTAGCAGTTTCAAAACTTCTTGTGGCGTAATGCGAAGTTCCACCCAGAAACGCAACAGGCGACTCACCCGTCGTATTGCAAAATCCTTCACTGAGTCTTTTCATGAAAACCCCTTTTCTCGTATTTATAAATGCTAGCAGCAGGAAAAGGGCTGTAGGTGAACGTCTTAATTTATTTCCGTCGTCGGGAGGCCTACTGTCTGGTTAAGCGCAGCGGCCTGTGTGAGCTTTATTGACATGCCGCTAATTAATTCAATTTTCCAGAACCATCTGTTACGATGCTTCCTTTTAGCACTTGTTTGGGTGCATTCGTCACTGTCCTAGGGGTGTATGGAGGCAGCATCGACGCCTGTTGGCAGTTAGTTTCTTATGCTAAAAGCACTGAAAAGTTGCTTCAGAATCCGGCGAGGTTTGGTTCTGCAGTCCCACTTGATTGATACCATATGGTTAGTTAGCCCTGACAATTTCAATAAGTACGATTACGCCGACTTTGCATATGCCACATGCTGGTGTCTCTCTTACTACTTTAATCCAGCGAGTAGCTGTGCCTCGGAGGAAGCGCTTATACGCCGGCCTCGGTCAGTTCACACGCACTTCCCTGCACGTGCTTCTAGCGCTGTCTCCGCCCTCTGCGTCACCTCAGTCCGGTGGGTGGCTAAGTAGGCTGTCATTGTCCGGACGGTGTGCAACTCAGTCGGTATCACCATAGGAGGCATGCACAGCGAACTAACACGCGGTTCACTCTGTGGCCTTCCAGTTTGATTCTCCTAATCCAGAGAGTGGCTCTGTCGCGAGGAGTGTGTGCACGCCACCTTCGGTTACACCACACGAGTTCGACCGTCAGTTTCGACGATGTCCACCGCGTGCTCTACAGTAAGGCGGAGCAAGGATGGCGACTTGTGCGTGGATTTGCTTAAAGTGATAGTGGACTCGCGGAGCATCTACCGCACTCTCTCCTCCCCACTCTCCAACTGGACCCAGTGTCAAGAAGACCTGAAGTGGGGGGGGGGAGGCAGTTACACCAAGCATCGGTTCACACGCACCTTTCTGCGTGTGCTTCGAGTCCTGTCTGAGCTCTCTTTCTCTTCCTCCTCCAGCGAGTGACTAAGTTATGTATGTTAACCGAAATTCCTTTAGTAAGCCTACCAAATGGTACTGGTAAAGTGAGCCTGCAGGACCAGACCTCGTCCAAAACTCTTCTCTGGAATTCATAGATATTTTGGCAGATTTTGAATAATTCCTATTGGCCCAACTGTGAAAAACTCGGCGTGGGTTCGAATCCCACCGAGGCGCCGAGTTTTTCACAGTTGGGGCAATATGAATTATTCAAAATCTGCCAAAATATCCATGAATTACGTGAGCCTGGTAGTCATCTGGTGGATTCTAGGTGAATTTCTTAAGAAATCTTGCCTGGGCAGTCAACTTACTTTATCAGATTTGGCGGATTGTAGACGTTGCAGTAGGTTGGGCGGGTAAACTTGACCCAAATTGGATTAAACTCGAGTCGTCCGACTCTTCGTAGCTCAAGTGGTTAGAGCGTTGGCTGTACTAAGGCGTTCTCCTTACTGCGTGGGTTCGAATCCCACCGAGGCGCCGAGTTTTTCACAATTGGGTCAATATGATTCTTCACTGGAATGCAAATCTGCTACCCTGTTAGGGCAGGATATGTCCTCCTGAGGACCCTGGGGAGGGGTCCACGAGTCCCACACGCAAATATGGAAATGGCCTCGTATTGGGTAGTTTACTGGGTTAGATCGCAGTTGGTAGCCAGGAATGGGGAGGCGGACAGCCAGGTCTCTGTCGTACGGGAATGTGGGTCATATGGATGGGGTAAAAGGAAGGGCTGGTAGGAGAATGCTGGAGATTCTGAGTAAAAGTAACGTTACCAGGGAAAGTTCTGGGAAGATCTAAGTAGGTGAAAGAACGGCAGAAATTTAAACACTACGCTTAACACTAAAATCAAACCCTGACCGCAACCGTAAGGCCTAACCCTAAGCCTCAAAACCCAAACTCAACCAAAACCCTAATACCCAACGCGAACCCAAATCCTGACCATGACCCTAACCCTAACCCTAACCGTAACCCTAACCTTAAGCCTAGACCTAACCCTAAACATAACCATAACCCTAACCTCAAGGCAAATCCTAACCGTAACCTTGGCCGCAGCCCTAACGTGAACCTAAACCCTACCCCTAACACTGAAACCTGGCCCTAAAACGCAAACCCTAATCCTAAAACTTAACCTACGCCCAACCCTAACCCTAACTAAACCCAACAGCCTGGCCGAACCGGGCGACCTGCCTAACTAAGTAAGAGCACACCTACTGATAACAAGTTCCCTAGACAAGGTAGGCACACCTACTGATAACAAGTACGTACGTCGACAGTATCACCGTATAATTTCTGGCTACCAACTGCGATCTTACCGTTTGCTGCTTGAAGTCCTCAAAAAACGCTCATTCACTCCCCCTCTCCGACCGCGTGACAACAAAGTTCTTTCATCCAGCCAAAAACAATTTGCACAATATTCTTACTCTACCTGCCAACTCTTTTTTTGAGACGCAGGTGCTAAGATCTCACATTGGTAGACTGAAACCACCGTGTCCAGTGAAGCAGTCTTGCTGACAATGTTGCTTAT